TCCTAAACCCTCGCGACTTTTCCCCCCCAAATTTTAATCAGCCTCCTGGTATTTCGGGAGATACCACAGCTTCTTCAGTGTATTTACGACGATACACGACAACGCGCATGCGTGTGGTATCTCTCCTTTGGACTTGTTTACAGTACAAGCCTTTGGTTTACCCACAATATAACAGACAGTGATAACAGTGAAGACAACGAGCGGAGGGTTGCGCTCACCTATCTCTCCAATCTCACCGGCATTACGCAGGAGAAAAATGGCTTACACCCGATCGTATACGTAATGTTTTCATACACTTTTTCGTCATAGTCTTTATCGACGTACTTTATCGTTTCGGGGCGTCCCAGCTATCAGACCACCTCGCAATAGCTAGTCAGAGTCAGGTGATACCGCTGTGTCTAGCCTGATAGCATAAGAGAATTGGGCTACGGCTTGGCGGCATTGGGAACAGGTGATGAGCCTACTGTCTGGTAGCTTCTCTTGTTGATAGATTGACAGTCTGGCATCATACATGGTTGATAGACTGAGGGTCTGGCATTATACAGGGTTGATAGACTGAGTGTCTGGCATCATATAGGGTTCATGGATTGAGGGTCTGGCATCATACAGGGTTGACAGACTGACCGTCTAGCATTATACTTGGTTGATAGACTGACAGTTTGACATCATGCACGGTTGATAAACCAACAACCTAGCGTCATACTGGCTTGATATGCCATCAGTCTGGCATTATTACATTAATCTAGGTTGATAGACTGACAGTCTGACATCGTACCGAGCTGACAGACTGACTGTCTGACATCATGCCGAGCTCACAGACTGACAGTCTGATATCATACCGAGCTGACAGACTGACGGTCTGACATCATACCAAGCGGATAGATAGGCAGTTTAAGTTCTTTCTGCTGTTTTTTTAAAATATGCTGGTGGTTGGAAGGTGTCGCTGGAAAGTTACTTCTTTATTCTCCTTCTCTGTCTATCAGCATAGCTATTTTCAAGCACTAAATGACCCGTTATTGTGTCGATGGACTTCTGTTTTTACTCGCACTTGTATATTGTACTTTTCCTCTCGTTTTCAGACTCCACCTTATGCTCCCTCTTTCGTTTTTTTCTCTATCTACCCCCTCCTCTTTCTGTCTATTTTCTCCCCCCCCCCTCGTTCTCTCTCTTTTCTCCCCCCTCCCTCCCCCGCCCTTCTCCCTGCCATTGTCAGTCCAGTCCCAATATCACCCCTCGTTCCTTCTCAACATTTCGCGTGCCAAACTCATCCCGAAGATTGAGGAAGACACCTGCTCACTTCAGCTGCCCTTTCTTTTCCGTTTTTTTTTGTGCCTTCATACCTTTTGATTACTTGAGCGGCAATTCACCTGTTGAAGCAGAGCTCACCTCATCATGCCTAACCTAACCCTGGCTGCTCACAAGTCGAACCCTCCAGCTTCCCATACCTTTTTTATTCCCCCAGTGAATTTTCAGAATTTCCGCTCGTCGGTTAAGGTAATTTGGTATCGGGTTGCCGTAAGGCATCAGACTTTGGGCAAAAAAGATACGGATTTTGTGTGGATGAAATGTTTACAGGAGAGAGAGAGAGAGAGAGAGAGAGAGAGAGAGAGAGAGAGAGAGAGAGAGAGAA